CATTTATGTTCCCATGAAACGAAAGGAGTCTATATTTCGTTGTTTTCTAAATAAAAAGATTACTCTTGTTTCAACTTAATTCTTTGCAGCTCGATTTTTTAATCAGCGTAACTAATTTGAAATCGCAACCGAAAATATGAAAATATCGATCTGCAAATATCAATTAACAAGTTATTCTATCATTATTTTTATAGTAATTACAACGACATTTGACAATGCGCTGACAATGCACTGGTAATGCACCGGCAATGCAATTCACTTTACTGAAACTTTGAACAGTTTGAACAGCCACGTTTACCATGTTGTTTATGTTTCATTACATTTTTCGAAATAAAAATTGTGGTAAATCGACTGAACATTAGAGGGTTTAATCGTGATGCGATGTTGTTTTTGTGATAAATCTTGTCCCATCAAATTTTTCAATCAACAGTGGCACGACGATACCGAAAGAAATTGACGGAAATAAAGGAGAAAAGAGGAGAATGGAGGAGAGGAATCTAACGTTTCTGCAATTGGTACGTTGACATGACCAAAATGGCTACTGGAAGAGGGTCGAACCCGTGGTGTGTGAAATCAATGACAGTGAAAGGGACGAGAGTGGAGAAGTGAAACTCTAGTATCGATTTTCGACCCTTAAATTTCGGTGTACGCGAAACTGAACCGAGTCAGCCCCACTTGTCAATTTACGTGCAAATTATGTTTATTTAAAATACCTCGACGCTTTCGTGGCACACCAATAAATTGTTCACGTAAATGTTTGTGCTACAAAATGAATAAACTCTATGAAATAATTTATTTCAGACCTTAATTTGAAGATAGAAATAATATCGACTCGTTCGAGACAAAGGGATTTCGAATAATAAACTATTTCTTTATTTCAATCGATCGAAAGAAATAATGCTGAAAATAATAACGAACGAACTTATTCCTCGCAGAGAAATAATAATAAAAAAATAATATAATGAACGGAAAGATAACATTTTATGAAATTCTCACAACAATATTTGCTCCTGTCGCAAATAAATAATCCGCAAAATAATAATGAACGAAAATACTTTATTTCACGAGATCTTCACGACAATTTTTGTTTAAAGCAGAAAAACGATAAACCAGCCCCAAACATTATTTAACGTAATTTGCTTCATTATTTCAAAGAATTGTTTCAAAGGGTTATCTCGAAGAATTATTTCGAAGAATTATGGAATAAAATAACACGTCGATCGAAATGATATTTCAAATGATCGGATTTGGACCGTGTGCCGAGAGATCTGGCAACGGGAACATCGATATCGGACGAATGAAAATCGTGGCTGCAGATCGCTCGGATCGAACACGGCGGGGCGAAAATAAAGCGGCAGCCAAGACACGGAAGTTCCTGAGCGTGGCGGAACGTTACGTCAAAAGTCACGGACGTGCTACATGAAATCGCGTGAGAATGCCTCGGGGTAACGTGGAAGGCGTGTTGGCTGCAACGACGTGCAGACAGATGGGAGTGGTCTCCGCAATCACGATGGGCGTGGTATTTTCACGGCGTGCTGCAGCTGCACCCTCCAGTTGCAATTCGTGCGCGCTGCATTTGCCTTCGAACGCCGAGGCGAATTGAGCGACGCGAAATTTATTCGCTACTCCTGCGTCTCCTTGCGCGATCACGCCGATTCGATTGTAAGAATTTTATTAAATTACTGAGATTCCAGTTTCGACATTCTTTTCGCGGTCGCCGAAGTGGAATCGTCGGTGCGACGACTTTTTTGCTGCTTCGCGAATTGCGAAACCGGCGAAATACGGCAATAACTATTGCGAATTATAGTTTTATATTCTATTTGAAATTTTATTTGAAATTGTATTTGTAATTGTATTTGTAATTGCTTCGTAATTGTACTTATAATTGTATTTGTAATTGTATTTGTAATTGTATCGTAATTGTACTTATAATTGTATTTGTAATTGTATTTGTAATTGTATTTGTAATTGTATTTGTAATTGTATTTGTAATTGTATTTGTAATTGTATTTCTAATTGTATTTGTAATTGTATTTGTAATTGTATATGTCATTGTATTTGTAATTGTATTTGTCATTGTATTTGTTATTGTGCTTGTAATTGCATTTGTAATTGTACTTGTAATTGTAATTGTATTTGTAACTGTAATTGTAATTGTAACCGTAATTATAACTGTAATGTAATTGTAATTGTAATGCAATGTAATGTAACGTAGTGCAATAAATAGTATTTTAATAATAGTAATTAATTAATTACGACAGAATCATGATTTCTTTTATCACCGTGCGCCGAGTCGGGTCGGGCCGGGCCGGGATGCACGCGCCGGGCTCGCCGNCGTAACTGTAATTGTAATTGCATTTGTAATTGTATTTGTCATTGTATTTGCCATTGTACTTGTAATTATATTTAAAAGTATACTTCTACTTATAACTGTATTTGTAATTGTATTTGCAATTGTATTTTCATATTGCAGACGTGAAATTAAATACACGCTTCTAATTTTCAGAGATTAAGAACAACAAATATATTATTTAAATGCCAGCACAATGTTCAAAATTCAAGTGCA